TATAATCCCTTGATTGTCTCTTAAATTCTTTCCTATTTTAATGGTCCTTTGATTTGATTTTCTATTTTAAGTCTAGTCAAAGGTTAGAATTAATTATAGTATTAATTTCTAAATTTTATAATCCCATAATTTTAGGATCACATCTCCTAAATTATGTGGCTAAATATTTTATCATTATTTTATATTATTTCTCCTTTTAGTATTAGGAAATTAGGGTTTTAATTTTAGGAAATATTTTTTTCTATGAGCCTATATAAATTAGGCATGCTCCCTATTGTAAACAACAGAAAAGTTGAATGAAATTATTCATTTTAGAGTTTATAACTCTTGTGAGCCTTAGTGCTTTGTGGTGGTATCCCTTGTGAGAAACAAACGTGATCAAGAGCGTGATCAACTCTTGTGGTGTCTTCGAAGGTTGAGGTTCCTAAAGGCAGGTGCTCTAGAGGATCTTCTCCTTGATCATTATCATATTGTTTACTTCATACCTTTCTTTATTTCCATCATAAATTTTGTCCCTTTCTTTTTGTTCTTGTGTTTTTGTTGTTTCAGGGTTCTGTCCCTAAACTAGCACGATTCTGCTTCCGCGTTCCTATCAGATTGGCATCAGAGCTTTGGTTGCTAGTTTTGGTTTAAATTCTTGTCCTTCCTTCTTCTTTTTCATCTTGAGTTATTTTTTTTTTGTGATCATCTCTTATCTACCCCATCTACTTCTATCTTTTGGTTTTTCTCTTCTTCATCTTTGTGACTTTTATCTTATGTGAGTTTTCATTTTATTAGCCTTCTCAAAAAAAAAGAAAAAAAGACCTAGAAATTCATGCAAAAAAAGGGCAAAAAAAAGTGTTAGTGTGTTGAGAAAAAAAAGAGAAAAAAAATCCGAAAATTCAAAAAAAATTACAAAAAAATATATTACTGTGAGTTATGACTGTAGAAAAAGGATATTCTTGAACTTCAAGTCACCAAGAGGTTGCCTAAAGAGAAAAGGCAACTTGGGTATAAGAAATTCTTATATGTTGATCACTTTCTTATTTTTAATTTTTGGTAGCACTTTTCAAATTCTCTACTCTCTTATTTGCTATTTGTGCTACTTTCTTATTTTATTTAGTTTTTTATTTTTGTCTTTGAGTATTTGACTCTTTGACTTTTATTTTTTTCTTTCTTATTTTTGTTGTCACGTGTGGTTTTTCCTTTAACAAGCTTAATTTTATTTGAAAATTTTGCTTTCCTATTTGTTTCAAAATTGTAAAAAAAAAAATCCTCTTTTCACCTTGTGCTTGTTTTCTAGTTTCCTTAATTTAAAAGATATTCACTTGATTGTTCCTTAGTTTCTTGATTTGTGTTGGTTTCACCATTGAATTCTATCCACAAGCTTAGTGAGTGGTAAAAAGTAAGTGTGTTTTTCATCATTAAAAAAAAAAGCCATTACTTTTTTTTGTGAAACACGAGTGACTTTATCTTGAGAGTAAACACGTGAGTTTGTGTCTGTGAGGACCTATTTTTATCTTATATGGTTTCTAGTGCTTCTGTGAACATGAGTAACAAGGATGAATCCTCTAGTATTGATATGAACTCTGTTTTACAACTTATCAAAACACAGTTGCAGCAGTTTCGCTTGGAACTTGATCATAGGTTCTATAAAGAGGATAAAGATGAGCCGGAGACTTCCTCTTCTAAAGGAAAGAAGCATAAGATCCCCAGCAATGATGAGGAGTATGAAGAACCCCCTTCTCCTAAGGGAAAGAAATCCTCAAAGCGTGGTGTTGGCTTACCGGATCAAAAAGTAAAGTATCCTTTATTCAAGGGTAGCAACAATCCAGAAAAATACCTTGATTGGGAAATGAAGACGGATCAAATCTTTATGACTCTTGATTTGTCTGAGTCAAGGAAGGTAAAAATTGCTTCTTTTAATTTCACTGACTATGCTGTTTATTGGTGGCAAGATTTACAGTACAAAAGAAGCCAACTTGGGAAAAAGCCCATTAAAACATGGGAGAAGCTTAAAAGGTACTTGAGAAAGGCTTATGTCCCTAGCTACTATTATACAGAGCTGAATAGAAAATTGAAAATGTTTTCTCAAGGATCTATGACAGTAGAGGAGTATGTGCACGAGTTGAGTATCTTGAAGTTTCGTGCAAACATTCAAGAAAATGAACGTGAAGCAATGTCAAGAATTATGGATGGCTTGAGGCCAGAGTTGAGAGATAAGCTTGACTTGTACACTTTTGTAGACAAGGAAGAGCTCATACACAAGGCTATAAGTTGGAGCAAAGAAATAAGAACAAACGTTTCAAGTCCTCTTGGAAAGACTCCAAGACAACTTTTAAATGGAAGGATTCCAAAACCAAAGATACATCACAGGCCAAGGAAGAAATAAAGACCAAGTATGAGGGTAAAACTTCTGACCCTAAACCTTCTTCTTATTCATCTAACACTTCTCCTATTAAGTGTTTCAAATGTCAGGGTGTGGGCCACATGACTAGAGATTGTAGCAATAAAAGGGTTATGATCTTGAGAGATGATGGTGGCTATGATAGCAATAAAATTTTAATGATTCTCGAAAATTTAAGTTATATGTTGTGCCGTGCGCCGCAGCGCACGCCATGCAAGCCGCGACTTACGACGTAGTGAGCAACAACTTGATTTTGCTCCCCTCAATGCTTCCTAACTTGATTCGACTTTCATCCTATCTTAATTTAGAGTCAAATATGACCCTAAAACTTAATTAAATAAATCAATCATATTTTTAACTAATTTATTCCTTAATTAATCTATTTTTTCAGATTTAAAATTTTAGGATGTTACAACCTCTTTGCCCTGTTATTGTTTTAATATTTTATTCTATCATATTAAATAATTATTTATTATAATTTGTTAAAGAAATAACTTTAAATAAAATATCACATAATTTAATAAATAAAATAAGAGAGGCCACATTTTTTATGTTTGATAATGCCATTCTCTATACTCTCTTATTGATTTAAAATTTTTTTATCAAATTTAAAATTATTACATTATAATTTACTTATTAATTATTCATAACAATATTTAAAAAAATAATTGAAGAGAGGTGGCATTTCCAAACTTGAAAATCCCACCTCTCTTCCTTTTTTCACTATTTTATTGTAAGATAAAATATTATTTTAATATTAATTATTAATATGTATTATTATCTAATAAATTAAAATCAGAGAAGTGGCATTTCTTCACCTTGAAAACGCCATCTCTCTACCCTGTTATTAATTTATTATATTTTTCTATTAGATTAAATAATTATTTATTTTAATTTGTTAAATAAATAATTTTAAATAGTATATTATATCACTTAATAAATAAAATATGAGAGGCCATGTTTGTTGTGCTTGAAAATATCATTCTTTATACTCTCTTACTATTTTAAAATTTTTTTATCATATTAAAAAAATATTACATTATAATTTACTTATTAAGTATTTATAACTAATATATAACAATATTTAAAAAATAATTGAAGAGAGGTTGTGTTTGCAAACTTGAAAATGCTACCTCTCTTCCTTTTTCAATATTTTATTGTAATATAAAATATTATTTTATCATAATTCATTTAATTAATATTAAATATTAACACATATTATTATTTAATAATTTAAAAGTAGAGAGGTGGCATTTCTTTAGCTTGGAAATGCCACCTTTCTATCCTGTTATTGATTTAATATTTTATTCTATTAAATTAAATAATTATTTAGTATAATTTTTTAAATAAATAATTTTAAATAGTATATCATATCATTTAATAAATAAAGAGAGAGAGATCATGCGCTGGAAAATTCCATTCTCAATACTCTCTTATTGATTTAAAACTTTTTTTATCATATTAAAAAATTTATTTCATTATAATTTAGTTATTAAGTATTTAAATCAAATATATAATAATATTTAAAAAATAATTGAACAGAGGTGGGAAAGGCCACCTCGTTTTCTTTTTCAACATTTTATTATAAGATAAAATATTTTTTATAATTTATTTAATTGCTATTAATTATTAATATGTATTATTATTTAATAATTTAAAAACAGAGAGGTGGCGTTTCTTCAGCTTGAAAATGCCACTTCTCTACCCTGTTATTGTTTTGATATTTTATTCCATCAGATTAAATAATTATTTATTATAATTTGTTAAAGAAATAAGTTTAAATAAAATATCACATCATTTAATAAATAAAATAAGAGAGGCCACATTTGCTATGTTTGAAAATGCTATTCTTTATACTCTCTTATTAATTTAAAAATTTGTTTGATCATATTAAAAAATTATTTTACCATAATTTTGTCATTAATTATTTATAACAAATATATAATAATATTTAAAAAATAATTGAAGAGAGGTGGCGTTTCCAAACATGGAAAGGCCACCTCTAGTCCTTTTTCAATATTTTATTGTAAGATAAAATATTATTTTGTCATAATTTATTTAATTAATATTAAATATTAATATGTATTATTATCTAATAATTTAAAAGTAGAGAGGTGACGTTTCTTCAGCTCGGAAATGCCACCTTTCTGCTCTATTATTAATTTAATATTTATTATATCAAATTAAATAATTATTTAGTATAATTTGTTAAATAGATAATTTTATTAACTAAAACAACAAATTTTTGTGGACCATTAACTAAAACAATAAATTAGAATAGCATAAATGCATAATTCGAATCACATAATTTCATTTGGACACTTAATAGAATAACATCATCTTATGATAATAATACGATAATCAAGTTCCATTTTTTAATTACCAAACTCATACCACATAGCTAGAGAATACATCGTTCATTATAAAAAAATTTATATATAAAAAAAACTTGTTATGAGATTGACTTTTTTAAAAAAAATAAAAGTCTTAAAATATTCTTAGCAAGACTTCATCACAACAAAAAATAAGCGTGAACACACAATTTATGAGAGTAAGTAACCAGTCAAGTGTGGCTGAAAACTACCACGAGGGTAAGTAACCAGTCAAGCGTGGCTAAAAGTCATGATACAAGCACGGCAGGAGCTACGAAACAAGTGCAGGCACAAAGCCCATGAATAACAAGCGTGAGTCTAATGCTCACAAAAAATTATCCCTCCATTCCACGTGTGTTGGCCTTCGCACAAGACTAGCCTACAAGCATCTCGCTAGTTAGATGTATTGTGGCACACCAAGGGCTAACGAGGCTGCCTTTAGCAACCAGTGTTCTAATTCAGACCCACAATTTAAACAAACATGTATGGGTCCATATATATATATATAAACCATTTCTTTTTAATATGAACTTGCATAAATAGATTTATCAATATTTTTCCCATGCATGAATTAAAATAATTAATCCTTCCTCAAGTTATAAAATCAATCATTATCAACATACCGAATGAATAAGGGTGCACATTCAAAGAATATTCCTTTCTCTTCTTTAAAACTAAATAGCACAATGAAAACATTCCCAATTATAATCGATACATCAGAATTAAAACACAGCAATAAAATTATAACAATACAAATAGTCATATGCTTATGCCTTATTTTGATGAAAGACATTTATTAATAAATCATTTAGGATGCTATTCATTTACTTTAAATATTCTCAAATAGGTAACTTACTCATAATGAGTCACTTTCGCATTACTATTCGCTCCTTAAATTCCTAGTACCCAAATTAACATCATTGTCATTCCTTTTATACATTTTATGAACCCCTTAAAAACTCGTTCATTTTTATGGGACAAATTCAAAACATACAACATACAACATCCGCGTATCAATGTTTTGTTCTTGGAAAAAGTTAAGCCAACTTGACTAAATAAAAGAATAAGCCAACAACTGCACTTTCAAATGCATTACAAGTTATGTCCTAATTGAAATAAATTCTTCATCAAGAACCATAACATGTTTTAGTAGGTAACTAACACATTTTATAAAGTTTGACAGTTTGCAAGAGCTTCTATCAAAATTTTGGTCATTCATACTATGAAAAAAACACCAATTAAATTCGATCATTTAATAAATTCCTTCATGCAAATAAATACAATAAATCACCCAATTATTTAAAATATGCTTTAACTATTCAAGAAACACTTTAAAATTTTATCATATTCATACCACTGACAAATCACCACCTACATCCATCTTAGTCCTTAACCAATTACTCCCACAAAGTTTTATGGCACATCACGCCAATAGACGTATGATACACACACAAACACACTCATTTATTTATCCATGTATTATTAATAATAAAACAAATGACTCAAATACTAAAATTAACCATGGTTAGCTTAATTAGGTTTAGCCACTCATTTGAATAAAATTTTTCACTCAAACATTCTGACCAACACTTTATGTGTGAAACAAAATAAGTCAATATAATAAGGTTCTTACTTTTTCAATCCTTTATTCAAACCACACATACAGAACAACTAATCTTCACATGATTTACTAATTCTTAAATTCATTTTTCAAATTAAATCCTCTAATTTGTAGACATAATTTAGATTTGAAAGAGAAGGAGAAAAATCATATTATATGGTTTATCCTTTCAGCAAGACACAACCAAAAATGCAAGAAAAATACCTCTTAGTAGAAGCTCTCTACCACCCAACTATTCAGCCAATCAAAAACCCACTCCCCTGTTTTTTTTCTTTTATGTCCAACCGCTGCAGAGAAGCAAAGAAAGGGAAGAAACAGTGGTAAACACATATGCAAACACACTGATGCAATGAGTAGGAGAAGCCATGAATTGAGGAAAGATGGACAAGAAATGGAAAGAGGGAATCAAAGCTCCCTCATCCATACCAGTACAGCACAACGCAAACAGGGGAGGAGGAGAAAGATTCAGCGACATTGAAACGAGGAAGAACTCACGGTTGCCTGCGTTGGTGTCGAGCAAGAAAGATGAAGAAACAGCGGTGGAGAACGAGGCAGAGATGAAGCTTCTGGACCCCCAAATCACTTGTGTCACTCGCTCCGTTCTAGAATGAAAATGGGGAAGAAACATATCATTTGATATGTGCGTGCGTTTTGCTATTTTTTTTTTTTTCTGAGGGTATTTCAGTAATTCCATTACTTCAAAAAATTAAAATTTCTTTAGTTTAAAAAAAAATTTAAACCCAAATCTTGTAATGGATTGCACACAAGATTCCCTCTAGCTAGACCACAAATCCCTCTTATATCATTTACTCCAAAATTTTAAATAAAATATAATTAAAATTTCTTATCATAAATTTTAATTCTACTAAAATTCTAGGGTTATTAAAATTTAAGTAAAAATACCAAGAAAAAAATTAATTAATTATTTCATCTTAAATTTTTTGAATTCACACCTACTTCTCTTTTGATGCTTGAATAAAATTTATTGCATTGTTTAAAATTCTTGAATTTTCTGATCATTACAAATTACAAATTAAAATAGTTTATCATTTATTTCAATTTTACTCAAAATTTCTGGGTTGTTACATTACCATTGAGCTACCAATTCCCTTTGTTATATCTACTCTAAAAATTAATAAAATACAATTAAATTGTCTAATTATAGATTTTAATTTAATTTAAATTTTGGGGTTATTACATATTCAGTGTGGTCTAAGTGTTAGGTTATGCTTTTGGTACTTGGTTGTGAATTTGGGACACTTAGGTTGTGGTTTAAGGTTCAAAATGTGCTATTTTGCATTTGAGTGTCTAATTTGTAATTGTACTAAAGCTTGGAAATGATACTAGTACCATTAGCTAGAACTTAAAGAAAGCTTTTATTAGACACCTGAATCACCTTAATCGAACGTCGGACGAAGATTTAAAATGCGTCAGAAGTTTGGCTAGGAAACTTACCATGTCATGCTTTTTGTAGTTTATGCCGTAACATAAAATGTTTTGCTACAGCATAATTGTGCCAAAATTAATTTTTGCTATTTTGATCTAATTTGATGTTATGTTACCTTATATGATGTCCATGCTTTCATATACATATTTTTCTTTGATTTTGGTTTTTTAAAAATGATTTTTACAGTATTTTAAGTTTTGAAACTTGGAATCCCAGTTATGTAAATTTTATAAACTTGGTAATTTACTTAGGTAATTCCCATTATTACCTCCAATTTTAAAGCTAATTGTGGATTAGAAAGGGTGATCTTACAGCCTCAAAGGGGACATTCCAATCGAGGATTGATAAGTGATATACCATAATTCAGCTAGAGGTAACCACTTGACCCATTATTTTGGAAAATCACTTGTCATGCAATGGAGATAGCATTCCAAACAATGGTTAAGCACTTTGTTTTGGCTGTCAATTTGTGGATGATAGGCAAAAGAAAATTGCAACTTAACTCCACGCAAGCAAGAGAACTCCTTCTAAAACTTGCCACAAAAATCAAATCTCGATTAGAAATAATAGACTTAGAAAACCCATGCAAATTCACAATATTATCCATAAAGACATTAGTGACATCCACAATAGTAAAAAGATGTTTCAAGGCTACAAAGTGAACAGTCTTGGATAAATGATCAACTAGTACTAAAATAGTTGTCTTAGGGTAGGATTTTGGAAGACCACTGATAAAATCCATTGAGAGTTCAAACCAAACATGATTCAGAATAGGTAAGGGTCGAAGTAAACCTAGAGAAGCCACCATTGTTTCTTGATATAGCCAAATAATTGCAAAGTGGCCGCACCCTCCTTTCCTTTAATGGCATTCACCAAGCCAGTGGGTTTGATGGGTTCGACCCCCTCTAAGGCATCCTTAAAACTTTTGTATCATCTTCTACAATAAGGGCAAAGACTTAGGAATCTTTGCATCAATGGCTATTGGTGTATTTGTCCCTACACTAGTAACAAAGACCTCTGTGGTGTCTCTTATCCATCTCACACTTCGAAAGGGTGTGAGAAGGCTTGGATGATGTCGAACTGGAGAGATTGAAGGAAGCGACTATTGGTTTGGGGTTGTCAATAGCTGGGCTTGAGTAGGATATGGGTTTGAAAACCAGGTCGAGTTTAAAACTTGATAGTATCTGAGGGGAAAATCAAGAAGACCCGGTTGAGTAATGTGATTCAAAAGTTGCGAAGGGTTTATATTGTGGCCTAGATGGTGCGTAAGCATGTAAGGCACTGATGGCAATAAATTGACGCCTAGCCATTTTCATTTCAGCAGTTAAGGTCATTAGTTGAAGGCTCAAAACTCCCTATTGCACATTGTTTCACAAACCACCTATGAAGCAAATCATGGCTACCTCTTCTGACAAATCTACCTCTATTAGAAGCTCATCGAATGTTTCTTCATAGTCTTCAATAGAGTTATGCATTTGTAATTTCTTAATCATAATCATAGGATTCTCATCTCTGATATCTCAAACTTGATTTCCATTTCATGAAAATACATATCCCAAGAGAGCTTGTCCATCCGTCTTAGTTTTGTGAAAGCCAAATGCCATCAGAGTGCTTGTTTTTCCAAATGCCATCAAACTTGGGAAGCTCTACATGACTATGCTTTGTTGGGATAGAATAAGGAGGAGATAGAGCAGGAAGAAGGCCATAGAATGACCCAAATTGGGGTAGTGGTGTGAAGATGGGAGGAGGGAGGGCTCCAACAAAGGGGGTATAAAATGACCCTAAATTTTAAATTAAAAAAATATCCCAAATTATATCTTATTTAAATTATTTTTATGACAAATGGAAAGTGGTGACTTAATGAAATTGATGCTAATAGTTTACCTGAAGGTCTAGGGTTTGAATTTTTTTGTAGCAATGGATTAATTTTATTTAGTTTACAATTATAAGAATATTACCAAAGTGCCTGTGTCTTTTAAGATATTAGAGGAAAATGTTATGCCTTCTCTCATAACTTTTGCAATTTTCTAATGTTTAGATTTTCATGCCTTATTGTTGATCAAAATCACGCACCAGAAGAAAAAATTCTGGACCCTTCCACTCAATTTGCGTTGCCGTTGTTATCTCCCTTCATTCCTCTTCAATTTTTCAGGTGGTCTCTCCTTGTTGTGCCTTCGATCAAGTCTTTCCCTTCTCTCTTCCTCCTTCTATCAGCACTATTTATCACTGGTTTGGTCTTCTCTTCTTACTTTGTACTTTCTGTTACTATGGAGAGCATGGCTGTGCATTATGAGGGTTTGAGCTCGGGTGGGCATTGTGAGAGGTAGAAGGTCAGTATATATATACAGTCTTCATCTTCTCTCCCTTATCAACTGCTAGACGTTACGTGTGTCCATATGATCTGTGAGGAGAGAGAAGATCTGATTTAGACATTTCTCCATCTTTCCTTTGCACTTCATCTCTTCCCTCCCATTTTTGGTGGTCGCCATTGGAAGTAGAACCTCATTACAGCTGTGCAAAGCTCAGGTTCTCTATCATGTTTCCCATCCCTATTTGCCTTCTTTAGTTTTTATTCTGTTCTCGATGTTCACATTCAGGTCATTGGTGGGTGTGAGAAACCAAATCGCAAGAGTTGGTGGTGCTATCACAAGCTTAAACGTGTGCTGCTAATTCAATTTCTTTCGTTTCTTGTGAGCTGTCTTTAGTTTCCTACTTCCCCTGTTCAGCTGTTGAAACTATCTCCTCCCTCCTTGCTTTTTGCCATGGAGATCTAAGTTGTTGTTTCACTTTCTTCTCTGCCCCTAACTACACCAAACAGAGGTAGGAGATTCGGGTCCCTTCTTTTTTATTATTTATGTACTTGTGAATATGGTATGCTGTTGATGTGCGTGAGAGTGTGGTTTGCTCTGTGTATGCATGAAATTATAGAATTTGTGTGTGTTCTGTGCTGCCGTGCTATTATAGGGAAGAGACAATTCAAATATGGAGTTAGAAATTTATCTTAAAGCTTGAAAATGATACATACATACATACATACATACATACATACATATATATATATATATGTTATGGTTGAGTTAAATTAATTTGTTTGGAATGGCCGTTGTTGAAGAAATTGTTAGAATGAAAGTGGAAGAGAAGAGCTTAGATGGGATACTTGGTAATTAGTGTTTATAAGATGTTTGTTAAAATTCTTGTTAGAAGAATTAAACTTAATTTTGAAATTTCATTGATTCTTATGGAAAGTAGAGTTAGCTTAGATGTTATTAATCTATAAATTTGACTTGAAAGTTGCAAAGGACATTTGACTATGAAATTAATAATATGTGATTATTGTAATTCTTGAAGATCGATAGTTTGTTGAAGAAATATTTAAATGCTAGAATTGTTATGAGGGGATTGGAAAGGTTTTGTATTTGGTGCCTTAACAAAATGCTAATGAGGAATATTTTTCTTAGTGTAAAGCTTTGGTTTTAAACTTTTAAATTTATTATAGTTGATTGTTGGTGAGAATGTTAAAAAGAAATTATTGTAATGGCTGAGAGTTGAATATAATTTTAATATGATTTATAGGGTGTTTGGAAGAAGAGAAATTTAATTAAAGTTGAGAGGTGAAATTTGAATCTTGAAAATTTCAAGTGAATAGCATCCTAATTGATATTTCAATAAAATTCCTTTATTAAAATATTATATTTTTATGCAAATTTTTTTTACAAAAACAATGAGATTATTATATATTTTGATAATTAAATAACTTTATTTCATGAAATTATTTTACTAGATTTGATTATTTTAATTAATCAATAAATACGAGTTTAGATTCTACTTATGAGATTTCATTCTGAAAATTATTGAATTGCTACAAAAAATGATTCATGCGAGTTTGACATTAAAAATAAAAATTTTATTCCAATGGTGAATATTTTCTCGCATGTTTGAAATTGAGTTTAAAAAGGAATTTTATACAGAATACCAGTTACTAACAGCAACTCCATTAGCCCTTGGCGCCTTAGCTAATGACTAACTAGTTTGTTTTTGTGAGCTTATTCTCAAGTTTGTTATTCATAGGTCTAGTACCTGCATTTGTTTTTATGGCTACAAGTCGTGTTTGGTTAGCATTACCCTCATAGACTGTGCCTACATTTGTTTTATAGCTCAGGCTGTGTTTGGTTACTTACTCTTGTGGATCGTGTGTCCACGTTTGTATTCATGGCATAAGTCACGTTTGGTAATTTATCCTCGTGGATTGTACATTCACGTTTGTTACTTGTTCTGATAAGTCTCTATAATTATGAGTTTTTAATTATTTGATAGATTTATTTTTCATTGGTTTTGATTAGTGACATATTTACAATTATTTAATATAGTTATTTGCTTTATTGAAATTAAATAATAATGACATTTGATATGATACTTTAATGTATTATGATTATTTAAAATTACATAGAGTCCTTTTATGCTGAATTTTATTAAATATTTGTTGTGAAAATTGTCATCTCTAGCACACATAATTATTTTAAATTTTCCTTTTATACATATTTAATTATTTATTGTTCGGATGCTATTCACTTGAAATTTATTTTGATCTCAGATTTATTAGTTGATGCTAATCTTATTACTAACCTCTGAAGGGAATGTAATTGTTCTGGGTGAAATTTTGCCTACCATTATTATTTATTTATTTTATGTAAATATTTGAATTCGTATTTTATTTTGAAAGTAAGATTAGGTACTCCACGTAGCCTATAACTAGGTTTCTATTTTAATATATGTTGGCTGTTGGCTGGAAGGAACTAAGCTCCTAATTGATACCATATTTTGTGTAAAATATTATACTGTAAAATTTTCGAGAGATTTTATTTACAGGGGAGGTTTTATCAAAATTTTTACAAAAAAAATATTGAAACTTTTATTATAATAATTTTTTTATTATTAAGTATGTTATAATTTTCAGTACAAATTCAACTATGTTTTAAAATGAAAAGATTTCTCAATTTAAGACTTGAGGGATGTATAATATGGTTTACATCCCGTACCGGTTACCCTCTGTTTTTAGAGCGTGACAAGATAGCTGGTTTAGATAATGGTGGCAATGACGGTGCATTGGTCGGTGAGGGAGGAAATGAGGTGGCTGGACGAGGTGGAGCAACAAAGGTTGTTTGAGAAGGAGGTGATTGGGAAGGTTCGCCTACCCCAAGTTGCGAAGAATGGGATGGTTGGTGGGTGATCATAGAAAGCTTATCAGAAATCTCCTTCATAAACTGATTCAAGGTATTTTTTATCTCAGAGATATTGCTAGTGTGTTGGTCCAACGCTAGTTGAGTGCTTTGAAGCAAAGCAGACTGCATTTCCAGTCGGTGTTCCACGTCGCCAATTGCGTCTCCGGCAGAGCTATGACAAGAGAGATGGCTCTGATGCCTTAATATTAACAGAAGAGAAGAAGGAACGGAGAAAAGAGTCTGAATTCATTCACACAATGAGCAGAGGTGTGTAATACAGCATACAAGGCTAACCTAGACACGTGTCATCACAGGTGTGGTCCTAGTCTGTCAATAGCTAACCTAATACAGCCAGCAGTAACAATATATGAGACATAACAGTAGTCTAAAAGACAATAAAACCCTTTAACATAGAAATAATACGTAACAACTAGAGTCCTTACTTTTCATGAAAAAGATACCATATGATGAAACTAAACAAATTAAACAACGTAAACTAGGTTTCCATACATATTGCTGACCATTAATTTATTGCTTAAGAATTTAATTCACGAAGCGTCAAAGAAAACAAAGAAGTTTGTGCATATATCAGTAATACGTACTAACGCATATTTTCATTGGTATGACCAAACTAAAAATAAATAAATAAACAGTACATACATTTTAATTGGTGTTGAACAAGTAATACTGCTGCACCTCAAATTAGTTTGAAGTAAAAAAAATGAGAATCTTGTAACTAACATTAGATGTATCATTATTGTATATGCACGTCAATAATACCTTATAATCTATTTTCTCATAAATAGAAAGAGCTAAAATGGAGCTACACACACATGTATGTATATAGAGAGAGAGAGTCAAAGGAGCAATAGGAAAGCAAACCGCCACTACTGTTACGTTCATTTTGTTGCTTGATCTGAATTGAAAGTACGTACAAACAAGTGTCTGTAACTTAGATATTTACACTTAATTAAAAGGTAGGGCATCCTTTTGGAGCCTTAACACCGGGTGCTGTAGGGCACTTAGCCAAGTTACAATGATCACTAGCTTCAAGTCCCCACCAAGTAGGACCGTAAATATCATAACTTTGCAGAGCAAAAAACAGAAGAACGGCAGTAAAGGCAACACCAGCATCAAGTGCGGCAGATAGAATATACGTATGTCTCGCCCACCAACCCTTAAACCTACTGTACACATAGAAGTTGAAGAAGATGCCAACGATTCCCCACATGATATAGTTCACAGACTTTGCTGGAAGTAACCCTCCAGCTCCACTGAATATAATGGGCATGTTTATGAGAGGGATCCATTTCTGGTTTGGGAATTTGTGGGAGAGAATCCAAACTGGGACAGGAGCGAGAAGACCAATGAGGAAGAACCAGTTCATTTGTGGGTAGTTTCCGTCCTTTGTGAACATCCTCTTTGGTCCTATCACTCCCCAAATGATCGATGCGTTGTAGAACACATCGTCGCCTGGACACGTCCATGGACTGCCTTCTGATAATAGACTTGGGTCACATATGTTTTCCACAGTCGATAGAAGCCACCATGCTGTGCTAAAATACACCATAGAAGCAACTACGGTTCCAGCCAACTGCAAATTTAAATGAATAATGCACAGGCTTAGGTATAGAGTTGGGACTCAGGTTCCAAGTACACGCACGCGCGCGCGGGGAAATATATATAAAAGTATATCATTAAACTTCGATTGTGTCTTGTTTTTAATTTTTATAGTGTTATTTCGTTATTCATGGATATAATCCCTCCAGTCTTACTCTACAATATTAGTTACTATATAATTTTAAAACTGCTCATAAAGACTATGACCTGATTCTGATGGAGTTAACTTTTTTGCTAATGTGTCCTTAATTTTGTTACCACTTTGTCTTTTAATGATTGAGACATCTGGACAAAAACATTCTCACTGCTAGCCGTGTTTGCTTTTGTCTCATACATTTTCTATTTAAGTCAAATATAAAAGAAAGCTTTTTTTTCTCCTCGTTACCTTTTATTTTTAATAAACTTGCTCGATTTATTTTTTTCATATCAGCATAATTTATCATGCCAGCAAAAAAGTTAACAAAGTCAAGATACGTCAGTGAACTTAATTCTATCAAAGCCAAGTCATGGTCCGTACGTGTATTTTTAAAATTATAAGAACTAATATTATAGATGCATCAAACTAAAAGGAGTCAGAAAAACAAAGAAATAGAACTTTAAAGACTAAAAACAAAACGCAATCAAAGTATAGAAATTTATTATTGTATTTTTCCTATAGATAGATCGATAGATACCTGCACGATGAACATTGATTTGGGAGGAATTTTCATGTAGTGCCCCAATTTGAAATCAGAAACGAAGCCAAGGGCTTGAGCCATGCTGATGTAACCATAGGTCTTGAAAGCTACATTAGCAAGAGGCTTTCCGGGGTAAATGAACCCAATAATTAACTCTGTGATCACGTTAAGGCCAGCTTGCTACACCAAATATATTGAATGATTATGAGAGGTAAAATCAGAGTCTTTAGAGAGCGAAAGGAATGATAATTACTGAAAGTTTACCATGTTTGTTGTGGCTTGGATGACCCCAATGGGCAAGGTGAATACAAATGCTATAGCGAAAGAGAATAAGACTCCCCACCATGGAAGTTGAAGCTGACCTCCAAAACCTTGACAAGCAAACAAGGCAAGACCTCCCATTACAATCAAAATAGAAATAAACCACCATTCTGGAACTTGTTCGTAGTTCTTCTTCATAATCCTTGTGTGAACATCTGCGAAGTGACCTGCTTTAAGCTGATCTGTTGTCTTCTTCCACATCTGATATATTGTTCTTTCAACAGCAAAACAAATGTAGTATGAGCATATATATATCACTATACGTATGTATGTATGTACGTATGTATCTCATGCTTGAGATGGGAACTTACTTTCCATGGAAGAGGCAGACATGTGAGATGGTAGCAGTGAGAGTAGCAAAGCTCAGGCCATAGTTGAAGGCAAACAAGACGCTCAAATAGAGCTTGCTGTAACTATTGTATTGGGCCAAATCAATGTCAAAGGTGGCTTGATTCAAAACCCTCGTGACGTTGTAATTTGCGCCAGTGGAGTCAAAGGTGTGAGAGCTCAAGAGTGGAAACTTCTTGGCTTCGTAAGCATTGGTCCAGTAAGCAATGGGGACGACGACGTAGATGAACAAGCAGAACCCTACGAGGACGTTGACTATGACGAAGCCAGGGTTAGCCAAGGGGCTGCCCAAGAATCCGGCCACCGTGTTCCAGTCGAGGCCGAAGGAGCCAAGGCCGAGCCCCGACATGCCGGAGCCGATCTGCTGGGCAGTGACGGAGTTCTTCCAGATCAAACAAACAAAGGATATTGTTGAGAGTGATTGGAAGAAATAGCCAGGGATTATGTAATAAGCAAAGCTTGTTGCGAAAACCAGGAAGAAGAATTGAAGTCTTGTGGTTCCACCCTTTGGCCTCCTTTCTTTCTCGTGAAATGCCCTGCATGCATGTTGTTTCATAATTATCAACCTTTCAAACTGTAGCTTTATCATCATCATCATCATCATTTTTGCATGGTTTTTCATACAGGGATCAACGTGTTAATGTAAAGTATGAAATTGGCAGAATGGCATGAAAAGATTGAATTAATAACGATTATGAGTTTATGACAAAATTTTTAAAATAGAAATGAGCTAAAAAATATCAATTAAGACAATTACAAATTCTGTAATTTAAATTTCAAATATATATATATATATATAACTCTTATATTATCACTGATATTTAAATTGATATTTGTAACTTATTTTTTTAAAAAAATTAACTATTCAATAACAAAAAAATTGTTAAGAACCTAACTATTATTAATTTAATTTTTTATAATCTAATTATCATTCTCGATATTAAATTTAGACTGCATATACATGCTTTCATTTATTAACTGCTAGTTATAAATATTTTTCTGAGGATAATACCAATCTAGTATTAATATATATTAACAATATACATTGAAAACAATTGAGACAGAGTTTAAAGGAAAAGAACAATCGAATCGAACATATCGTTCTTAATAAACTATCAAGATTATAAGCATACGAAGTTGTAAGTGTAGCTTCCTATAATTTTTATACACAAGACATAAAGGGTACAACTTATTTTTCTGATTGTGTGAAACATATGGGCCGAAAAGACTTATCTAGCTACACTTAAATGCAATTTTAGGCAATTATTTTCAATTTTTTAAAATAAATTAAAATAAATGAAGATATTGGATTTCCTGCCTATTTTTCATATGTGAAATATATGTACCTAGACATACATTGATCTAAAGTATAGTCTCCTAGCTAGAGCGCAGTTCTCTTGTCAATAAATAAAAAAGAAAACAAAAAAAATCTTGAATATATATTATTGAAATATTTGTTATTTAACATTATCTAAAAAGATAATACTTCCATTTCTTGTAAATATTTACATATATAGCAATTATAGAATTGTGATGTATATCATTAAAATTTTCTAAATTGATAATCAAAGACAATAATAATTAATTCAAGGAGAACATAAAAATAACATTGAACATTTTATTTTATATTAATAATTATTTCTTGAAATAAATACCTGAATAGAGAGACCTGGACAAGATTTGATGGCCACCACATGTAAGGAGAGTCAACGAGGAACTTTCTAAATACTCCAGCCCATCCATATCCAATCATCTGTTAAAAATTATTCACAAACATAATATAAAACTAAAATGATTTTGGAATCTCAATTAAGTATTCTCGGATTCAAAGAAGCAAGTGAGAACATCCACAAGATTCGTTAGATATTACTGGCAAGTACTCAATGATCATGTTTTAGGGAAACTAATGCCTATATTGATTGATTTGCATGTAATGCGGACGTGTGTTTTCATGAAATCTCTCAAAAGATGTTTAGCTATGATGAATTATAATATTATCAATGAACTCGCAAGATTCCCCCCCCCCCTAGATCTATTAAAAAACTAAAATGTTTTCGGCTTGTAAAATTTTGAATTTTTTTCTTCTTTTTTTTTTTTTACAATTCAACTGTAAAAGTGTTTCATTTCTGTTTTATTGCAGAAACAGAAGATTCATTGGCTGCTGATTTTTTCTTGTCTTCTTCTCATTCTCTAGTTTACTCTTATTTGTAGGACGTTTTATTACAAATATTATCATTTGATCTTTTTATACAAAAAAAAAATTGGTAGCCGATTAAAGTATGGCATGGAATATCTCCAAAAAAAAAAAAGTAAGTGTGGGCAAAAGGGTGTGTGGCGGACTGTGCGGGTGTGTGATCATGTTTATGGCATTGAGTGCAAGTTGTGAGAAAAGAAAGCAATGACGCACAGCCTTTAAGAGGCGCACATGACATGCCTTGTCCTTTGGTTCAGCGTTTTCACGCAACCATATGCATTGACCGTTTTTAGGGATCTGATCACAACACCACCGCCTTTGAAAAATGACCCTCATGACATGCGCGTGATGAAATATTATGAGACTTTAGAAATTTTTATATTTAAAAGGGGATTAAAAATTATTTTCATCCTTAAATTTTATATATAAAGTTATATATACTCCTAAACTTAATTATAGATAAATTTTATTTCTTAATTTTAAACATTCTCTTCCTCATTCATCCCCTTTTTCTCAAGTTAGTTGATTATTAGTAGACACCATATTATATTTTTTTTATTACAAAATATTTGAGTTGAGGAATAAAAATTACCTTTTAAATAGAAGTTGAAAGGTGAAAATGACTCATAATCTAATAAAAATATTTAGAAAATAATGGTACCTGCTAATGACTAACATATGTTAAATATTTTTAACATCAGAATGATAACGAAAAAAATATTTAAAGTTGAGATAAAATTAACTCATAATTAAATTTAAGGATATTTATAACTTTTTTTGTATAATTAAAGGATAAAAATAATCCTTAACCTTTAAAAATTCATAAATTTCAAAGAAAAAGAAAGAAAATATGTCACGGGAAGCGCTGGTTTTAATTATTATGAAAGCCAGCCGAAGTTTCAAATTTTGTGCAAGTTTACAAATTTTCTGTATATTCATAACTTATTAGAAATAATATAATTTATAAAAAAAACCATATCGTATATTGTTATATTAATTATATTGGAGAACTCATAATTAAAAATTAAAATTAGAATGCAAACCGGTATTTTATACCTCTATAAATTTTAATATCTGTACATATAGACACGTGGAAATAGATACTCCCTTCATTAAAAAAAAATATAAAATATTTTTAATCAAAGTTCACTCCTTAATAAAATAGTTATTTCTCTTCAAATTAACCTTATTTTTTTATATTTACTCTTATTTAATAAAGTGTCACACACTAAAATAAATATAAAGTAATTTATTTAATAAGAATATTTTTAAAAAAAGATAATAATTATATATTAAAATATTAAAGATATTTTATATTTTTTAATATCTAATTTTTTAAAAAATACTTTATATTATTTTTCAACACTCATGAATAAAATATATAAAATAAAAAATTAAAATATTCCTTCATTGGCTTCCGCTTGGAATTGGTCAGGGATGTATCCAGTTTTGGGATGACAGGCAATCACTGCCTAATAATCGGCTGTTTAGGCTTTTATTTTTAAATCTTTTCTTTGTTGCTTGCTTTTGTATTGCAAATATATATATATATATATATATATATAAAATTTTCAAAATATTAAATAACCGTCAAATCTTATAAACTATACAAAGTAAAATTATTATTAAATTTTTTAAAAATTAATTTTTAATTAAAAAAATTATTTGAAAAATATAAAACCAATTTTTCCAAAATGAATCCTCATAAAAATCTCACAGGAACAATTTAATTTTGGAAAATAGTAATGACTTTTGAAATAAAAATCTTTCTATATATAGTAATTCTCTTGCATTCAATTCCCTAATTATCGTGTCAACATCAAAATCTTCACCTACTCTCTTGCCTCATGATTCTCCTCAAGATTCCTAAAAATATACAGTTTTCCATAGCCACATATGCATAGATTCCAAAACAAGCTCAAACTCAAAAACACAACAAACTATTTCAACAACAATTAGACAAAAATATGTAGTAATATAATTTTTAATTCCTAGAATTTCTCTCAATTATCCATTTGGTCACCAAATTTTGACTTAGTTTAACTTAATCGTAATTTATTGAATTACTAAGAAATTATCTGGGCTATTCTAAGTTAATAAAGTATATAGAATGAGTTGTTCCAAATCAAAAAACTAATGCAATACTTGATAGGTAAGAAAATTTAAATTTCTCATTTAAAAAAAAATTTCTTACCAAATTAAACATGTAATAATGGCCAAGGTTTAAAAGCTTACCAAAAATAAATACAAAAATTCTCCATACCTGGGTAGTCAATGCAAGCAAATAAGCAGCCAAGGGATGAATATTCCGATGATAGAAAGCTTTAACAATGGTGATAATGTTAATGGCGTAAACCCCAGTGGACCCAGAATTGGCAAAGATGGTGATGAGCACGTGCTCTTTTAGAGTAAAAGGTCCTGGATTCATAGAAAATGACCACCTCGTCAGCGGCACCCTTATCTGCTTTTCCGGCAGCGTCGCCGCCATGAGCTTCCCCAGAGGCAAGCTCACGATCTGAGCCGACACCGACGAGATCGTCAGCTGGTTCGTCCTGTAACCGAAGAACTGGTTCACGAACGCCAGAACGATACATGACACTAAACCTAGTACCCATGTCCGAAACGTCAGCGCCGGTTGGCTCGGGTCGTCGGTGATCGGAACGGTCAGCCTCACTTGTTCGATCGGATTGTCATTTACCTCTTCTTCCCCGCCACCACCATCATCTTCATCATCAACATCAACACAACAGGTTTTAGTGACACAAATATAGAATATATAATTAAAAAAAGATGTGCGAGAGAGAGAGTGGGGGGCCCATTGGTACTGATATATAGGCATATAGATAGAACCAGAGAAAGAATCCGAGCCCTCTGTTCATCAACAACAACGATGACGAGGCTTCAGTCCAATGAGGTTGTGTTAGATGATTAATCAAGATAATCTTTTGAGTGGGCCCCATTAATACTGTTATAGCAGAATAAATATAGAACCAGAGAGAGAGAGAGAGAGAGAGAGAGGAGGAGGAGGAGGAGGAGGAGGAGGAGGAGGATTATGAAAGCCCATTATCATTTCTCGAAGTATCTTGTGTAATAGCTACCTGATAGAGATGAAACTGTTCATCATCACCTTACTTAATAATCTCGTGGTTTCGTTGGAGCCGCACATTATTATGATGAAGCTGCTAAAGGATCAGAACGACGAAGGAGAAGAGAGAAAGGGAAGGGAATTTTAACATGATGATGAAACTGAGAAGGATTGAGAGAGAGAGAGAGAGAGAAGGAATTGGGATTACCTTGGATGTGAATCTTGGATGGTTCGTCGGAGTTTGGCTGATCAATACCATTCACGGCGACTCCTGCCATTGCGGTGGGTCGCCAATGGCGCTAAGCTTTCCTCTATTTTTGTTTAGCGCTCAAGAAATATGATAATATATACACACACACACAGTCACAAACACGCGTCTACTTTAAAAAATTAATTAAAAAATCTTTTTTTTTTTATAAGGAATTCATTAGTTGATATTCTTTTTTTTTTTTTTGATAAACCCATTGGTTGATATCCTCAGTCTTATTATAGTAAAAACCTATCATATTATTAGGTGATGGTTATTCGTTCAACTCATAAATGATGAATCCTCCCTGACTCTTGGCATTGTTCACCGTAATTAATACAGCTTCCTCTGTTAATGAATTAAGATGAATTTTTTCATTTCAACTAGGAAATACATAAAACCACTCTAATTGATATAGTTGTACATAACCTCCTCATCTTTAAAATGTTAAAATAATTAACCTTGTTAATTTTTTATTTTTTATCACAGACTTTATTTCTTAATTATCTTATTAATAAAAATTGTCATGTTATATTAAAAAATACACATTGTAAAATAATAATAGAAAAAATGTGGATAAAATATATAGAATGTGGAAGTACTGTAATATTGGCTATGTTATTTATTGATTTAAAATTATTATTTTATATATATAATTTTTATTTATTTTTACTTTTGGCTATAATTATAATTTATAAAGACTATTATGAGATAGACTATAGTATAGATAGAGTTTAGTATAGTATATATTTTATTTTTTTTTAGGATGATGCTTGAGTCAACAAATTCTGAAAAAAATATATTTTTTTTAATTTGTAAAAGGTGTGAAATATATTTTTTAACCTACATTAGGCCCTAATGAATATTAAAAAGTTACCCTTATGATAAGGGTAATATATTTAAAATAGAAATTGCTGCTTAGATTTTAATTTACGCTGAACAATCAATCAAAGAGTCGAGAATATTTCTCGGGATAAATTTTTTCTTTGATCAAATGTGAGGGAAAACTAAGTAGAAAGCATATTGTTTAACTTGATTTCAAAGTTTTCTCACATATTAATCAAAGGAAAAGTGCAAACATACCCTAAGGATAAAACATTTTAAGATAAAATAAGTACTCCCTTCGTTCAAAAATGTAAGATATTTTTAACCGAATCTCACCCTCTAACAAAGTAGTTACCTATTTTTAAACTAACCCTATCTTTTTATATTTATCCTTATTAAATACCCTACTATAAATATAAAGTTATTATCAATAAAGATATTTTTGAAAAAAATGTAATGATTACACCTAAAAAAACTAAAAATACCTTATATTTTTTAACATCTAACTCTTCAAAAAATGTTTTATATTTTTTTATGAAGGGAGTAATTTTTTTTTATCTTTAATATCCATGAGGAAAACAATTTTTAATATGATATTTTGAGTACACAAAAATAAATTATTTTTGTAATTTATAAATTTTACATTATTTTTATCTTTTAAATATACAAGGGGAATAAATCTAATCTACTTAATTTTAACTAAAACGCGGATTTTTTTTGTTAGAGTTAATCTACAAATAATCTCAGCTATTTTCTTGTTGGTTTTTTTATTTTTTGGCCAATTATTTTCTTGCTGGTTTTTAAGGTACAAACATAGAGGAAATATAGTCTATAGCCCCATACCCTATAGAACAGCTGTACTTGTTGGGGGAAAAAAAAACAGCTGTAATTGACAGTGGTTCTCCCGTTTAAAATCTAAATACTAGGTTTAAATTTTCTTTTAAAAAAAAAAGTAGGATGCAAAATAAAAATAAGAAAACTAACAAAATTTAATGGTTTAGATAAAAGTGACATCCGTTTTTAATTATAGTAAGATATTTTTGAATAAAATTTTATATATCAATAAATTTTATTAAATATAAAAATATAAATTTTTAAAAATATCTTTCATTTAATATGTAATTGGTAAAAAAATTGAAAAGATAAAATATATAAAAAATATAATATTAAAAAAGTATTCTTAATAAAATTTTATTTTTATCAAATTGTTTTATAATTTAATATGTTTAATTTTTTTAAAAAGTGTTTTATAACTTAAGAGGAATATAGTATTAAATATGCTTTTTTTGTTGCACTTTAAATATGTACACCGCACATTCGAACCTCTAATAAGATTGATAACTGTGTATTACACGAATTACTGTCATCACCAAAATCTTAATGTTTTTTGTTTTTTTAGCCAACAACCAAAACCTTAAGTTGGTATTGTCATAAATTGTATAAGAGTAATAAAATGATATCCTCTTTATTTTATCTTAATTATAGATACTTTCCCTCTATTTTTAAAATCCATACAAACCTCTTTTAAAAACAATAGTTACAAAATACAATTTTTCTTTTTATTTTTAAGATTTTATTTCTATCAATCTAACCATTAGTTAATCATTAAATGACAAATGTTGGATCAAAATATCCCTCTTTAAATATAAATACTATCTAAAAATTATTTAAGCTATCCAAAAAATATTCTGGATATATTTATACTTTTTTATTCATATTTTCATTTTTTTTAGTTATGCAAAATTGTTTATTTAGTAATTTATTAAAAAAATAAATAAACATGTTGGGTAAAATAATATTTCAAACACTATGAAAAAAATTAATAAAATGGGAATTTGGTATAGTGAAAGAAAAATTAGTCAATATAATTTATTTTTATTTTTCAATAAATTGTAGAATTTTAATACGGTATTTTAAAATGTTTTATTTAAATATTTTTCATATTTAATTTTTTAAAGTTCCTTAAAATGAGGGGAAGGGAGAGAGAGTAGACAATTAAACTATAAGGGCAAATTAAAAATTTACAATTTTCAACATAATTACAAATAAAAAATTAAGTATTATAGAATCTTTAACAAAATATTTTTAATTATTTTAAAAATTGGACTAAAGTTTATGTTCTAAAAATATAAGGGAAACCTCTGTAATTTTCAAAACCTACATTTTAGTTGATAAATTTTAAGGATTAATAAAACAAAAATTGTAAGTTCTAGAAGTCAAGACCATGAATTTTATTAACGGTCTGTTAAATATCGATCATTATATTTATCATCAATATAACATCGATATTTCTCATTATATTGTAAAAACATGCCATTCATTAACATTAATAAGCATCCGTTCAACGGCTGAATCTCCCTGTGTTTTCGCATTTTTCGTTGAAGGAAATGTAATAGATATTATTATTATTGTTATTATTATTATTATTACACTGTTACCTTGTCATGCGTTTTTTGTCCCATCAATACTTACCTTCATGGATATTAATGTTAATTATAATTATAATTCTAATTATGAATTTATAATTGATTAGATTAGATTTACAAAATTTAAAATACTTTGCAAAAATTCAATAGCAAAGCTAATTAAGATGCATTAATTTTTTTGGTAAGTATATAAGGAATAGGTTTCACATACAGAAAAGAAATATCTTCGTTGAGGTTCTGAAAATAACTAGTAAAGTTTACAACAATATTTTTAAATAAGTGTCAATATTGCAAGAAAAATCTCTCCCAATTAAATTACTACATATACAAGAGTTGAAGTTTGAATTTCTAAGTACTTGTTTAAATGATGAGAATTACATCAACCACTCATATAGCCTTATGCCTCGTTAGGTGCATTGGAGATAATTTTGATAAAAATGAAAATGGATATAGGTTTAAAAACTATGTTTGGTATGTGTTGCAGAATCATGCAATAATTTTTATTAAAAATATATACATAATCTTGAAAAAAAAAAACCAAAATACCCTTGCTAAAAGAAACCCCAGTCTAACAAAACCACCATCAACCATTGGAATCCTTATCAACAACACAAATCAAAGAGCCTTTAAGAAAAACAGCAATCAACAAAACAAAGCAATCGAAGGTGGAGGAGAGGGTAGAATAAAACATCAATGGTGAAGAAATTATATCACAACTGGAGGTGGTTATCGCAAGATCGTAGGTCTAGGGTTCGACAAGGATTTCCATGGCGTCAACTAGAATGTTGTATTTAAGCCTTCAACCACAAGATCGAAAATTGAGAGGGAGGGAGGGAGTTGAGGGCGATGGGAGACAAGGATGGACTACGAAGAATGGTACAAGTGAAGTTCTCATTGTCATCATCATTCTCTAGCCTCATCACTGTTGTAGATCTTCTATGGCTTTTTCATTGGTGGAATCATTGCTATTGGTAGGGGGAAAGAATGATGGCAGAGGGTTGGCTGGGATGGACGATAGCATATCATTGCCGTTGGTGGCGTCGAAGACCAACGCCGGTGAAAATGGTGGTGGGGTGGGGATGTTGAAAATTTGGGTGGGGTTGTCAAAAATGGGAGGGGCAAATCTATCTAAAATTTTCATTGAAAGTACAATCCTATGAAACCCATCTCATTTCTATAAGTCTGCTCATGGAACTCAATTCAACAATTTTTGTTGGAATTCAATTCCACATGGAAGCCCAAGTACATGCAAACCAAACATGTCAAGATCTCAGTTCCATTTTCATTTCTTTCTTCTCAATTCCAGCATACCAAACTATCCCTTAGAATTAAGACATATGGTTCATTTCAAGAGATTTAGACATAATGATTTAATATGTTAAACTATCTAAATCAAGATTCTTTTAAAGAAAAAAAAAATGCTTAGTCATGTTTTTTTTTTATTTGGACTCAAACAAATTAAAGAAGGGCTCTCGCAAATTAAGTAAAATTCTACTATATGACAAATGAAGTCCTAGGCCACTTTTCAAGTTCAACATATTGCAATCAATTGCCCATTAGATATTTCTAGAATAGGGATAATAACTTTAGTTGACTTTTAGGTTCATTGAGATGGATGAATTTGGATTGAAAATTTAAATTTGAAATTCATATATTTTAAATTTTTTGTTGTTTAGATGATATAAAAAACTTGAAATTATAATGTTAAAATCCTTTTATTTGGATCTTAAATAAAATTCTAAATTTAAAATTTTATGTTTAAATTTAAAGGCAACTTGTACGACGTAGATGATCCGATCCTTATCAAATT